CCCCAAAACCCCAAAACCCCAAAACCCCAAAACCCCATCTATGAAGAATGGTTTGAAAATATTTGCTAATTGATTAATTACACAATCTTCTTCTTGGATAAATCTGTTGTGTATTTCTGAGAAATTCCTAATCCTTGGAGTTCCTTCAGCTTCCTCTGCTTTATCATCTCTAGTCTGGCTTTCTCTTCATCTTGGCTTTGTCTCACCTTCCTCCCCTCTTCAAGGTAGTCAAGTCTATCTTGTTTCTTTACTTCCTCATTTTGAGTAATTTGAGATCTTATCTGATCGGCATGTTCTTTGAGAATTTTTCGTTTTTCATCTTCAATCATAGTTTCTCTCATCTCCTCTTCTTTCTGTGAAGAGATGATTCTGGTGTACTCTGCTCTCTCCTGCTTAGCCTGCTCGGCAAGCCTTCTCTCTTTCTCTGTGAACTGGGATTGTCTGGCTTCCTCTAGCTCTCTCTGGATTTTCAAATGTTTCTCTCTTTCCTTTCTTTCCTTTTCTCTTTCGGCTCTTTCTTGCTCTTCGAAGGCTCTTTTAGCTCTGAGGGAGTCGATCTCAGCTTGTCTGTCCTGGGCTCTCTCCTGTAAATCTCTAAGCCTTTGAACCTCCTTCTCTTTTTCTTCCTGGACACGTCTCTTTTCAGCCTCTTGTTCTTCCTCACGAAAGGCTTTGAGTCTGTTATATTCAACTATTTTATTTTCAAGATCTTTTTCTTCCTGCTTCTTTTTCTCCTTAGTGAAGATGGCTTCTTTATTAGCTTCTTCGACTTCATGCATCATTCTTTTGGCAGTCTCATGTTTCTCTTCGATCTCTTTCTTCTCTTCGGCTCTGAGCTGCTCGATCTGGTCTAGAATGAGCTGTTTCTCTTTCTCTCTCATTTCTTGTTCACGGATTCTTTCGAGTTCTCTTTCTTTGATCTGGTCGATGATGACCATGGAGCCTTGCTTGAGAGCCTGCTTTCTTTTCTTTTCGAGTTCGTCTTGGTGTTTGAGATTCTTGAGTCTTTCGATTTCCATCATGAGGTCGAGTCTTCTCTCTTCATCTCGGTATTCTTCTTCAAGTCTTTGCTGCTCTTCAAGCTGTTTGTCCCTGATAGTTACACATTTTGAATAGAGACACATCTGGTTCATGTGCTTTACATCGTCCTTTTCCTCATCAAGGGCATTTTGAGCATTGCTTAGTAATCCTTGTTTCTTTTCAGCAGTTTCCTTTTGGAATTCCGTAGGAGGGAGTTTAGAAGCTCTCTCCTGATCCATCACTTGCATTCTCTTCTTTCTAGCAATAGCAGCTGCTCTTTGTTGGCCTTTTTGCTCATCCACCATCTTTTTAGTCTGCTTCTGCTCCTCAGTTGAAACAATCTTGGTAGTACCACGGATTCTGTCCAGCTCAGACTTTTGGATAATAATGGCATCTGGCTTCTGTCCTTTCTCAGCCTGACCACGAATTTTTCTTAACTCAGCAGCAGAGACCACTGCAGCTCCTGTAGGAGCTGCAGTAGTTCCTGGTCTCTGCTTTTGAGAGCCGAAAAGTGATTCATCGACATAGGACTTCTTGCTGCCTCTACTTCTCAAGGAAGCTCTTGATGCTTTAGAAGCTTTTGATCTAACTGATCCAGCAACACTCATAGCCATTTTGAAAATTTAGAATTTAAATTATTTAATATTTCAAAATAAAAATTGATGCTTGGGGTTTTGGGGTTTTGGGGTTTTGGGGTTTTGGGG